GCATGCACTTTCATTCGAAATGAAGGTCCCCCTAATAAAATAAGAGACACTGGTTCGCCAATTAGTTGTAGTATCAGCTTTTTATAGCCAATCAAGCACATTTGGGCTTTCAATTTGGATGGAAGACTTGTTCAAGAACACCGAAACACTTGCTCCTCACTATACCCTGATTTATTTGACCTGTCGTTGTTACCAAAAAATAAATGCCTTAACATATACTCTCCAGAACCAATCGACGAGGAGCCCTGTTGATTAATGAGCTGAGTGATAGTTCTCGTAATCTCGTTAATTTTGACCAAAGCCAACTTCACGTCAATTTTCCTCCTTTTTTACCTCAGGAAGCACCAAGGGCCTAGTACTTACATTAACCTTGCACTTGGCAACCAGTCATTCTAGCACAAAAGTAAAAAAGCCGAGTTAATTGAATTATCAAAATTTTTTATGGTCACTGGTGAGCGGGAAAAAGAACATTACTGATTTGATTTTAAAACAAATGAGCTAACTACGATTCAGTCAGAGTGATCAATTTATTCACTTACTTCATCCCCTCTTATTGTACATGCATGGTCTTTTGCTTTCTAATCTCGACTGGGTAAATTCATATAAGTGAAGGACATGATGCAACTATAAAATCATTCATAGCAAGAAAGGACTGTAACCATGGCTACAATGACGAAATGAGGCTAGATCAACTCAATAATAAGCGGAGACTGCGGCAAAGATACAGACTAACTACAATGCTTGCTCTTAGTTGATGTTTTCTGCAAGGATTCGTAGGCTGCTACGGCCGACGAGCCGAAGACTGATTTCCATTGTTGACGTCGTTAAGATCGAGGCATTCCGCGAGACATTCACCATCATTTCTGACGACTCTTCAAATAATCTTTGTATTCTAATTTACGTTTAGTACTATAGTTGTCTGTTTCCTGTTTTGTTTGCCATAAGGAGACAACCGTGGACCTCGAGGCTGGCGTGACCGGACAGCTCGGCCTACGCTTCATTCCGCAGTTGACCCCGACAACCCAGCTTATCTACGTGTTCATTCGGGATGAACAGGGCAAGACTGAGGAAATATTTGCCGTCCGACTCACTTACACATGAGGCTGAGTGTCTGCCAAACACCGTCGGCAGGGCGAATTGCCTAAGGCCCAGTCTAAGCACGATAATATGACATTTTACCACATACTCATGCTTATTATTTGTATGAAATCATAGTTTTTGATGCCTATAATGTATCACCTCGAGTTTCCTGGTGAGCAGGCAATCACTTTTTGAAGTAAGCTTGACACCTCCGGTTTTGGAACAATTTTTCTTTTTATGACATTTTATAAAGTAAACATTCGGTCCCCTATCTCATTTGCTAGCGGTACCGAGATTTAATCAGGCGTAGAGATTCTATCTCATATGACTACGCGATGCTGGAATGGGCGCAAAATATTTGCATTCCTTCTTAAATTGTGTGAATGCTGGACAGACATTGCTTAAGATGATTGGGAGAAAGCTTAACAATGCCAAAATCGGACCCTTCATCTAAATCCAACGGATGATCGGAACAATTGTAGCTGTTTATCGTACTAATATTAAGCTTTCTACGAATTTTTTAGAGGCTAAACTTGCCGACTAAATCGAGCAAAGCCAAATAAAGAGTTGATCTAATAGTAAGAAACCTCTCTATACACCCCAAGTCTCCAAGACACTATGAGTGAATAAATCTTAGCCCAGATAAAATATTTCCAAATACATCGTTTGGTGCTTAAGCGAAGTTACCTTACTGTCTTTAGTCGCAATACTTTGAGTTTAATGCTGTGAACGATGTAGAGTTGATCCGAAATCTGTCATGTAATGGGGCTGTCTTGAAATTAACAGAGGCCCGTTCTCAAGTTAAGTATATGTTGGGGGTTACGCCGAGGTTAAGGCATTCTCCTTCGAGTTGTCATGCCTCCCTATTAATATTTATTCAATTCTAGATTTATATGTTGAAACGCTTGAACGATGAAATAACTTGCTTAGTAAAGCTTTTCGCAAGCAAGATGAGCTAGCATTCGGCTCAGTTCCTTCCCTTGTACGATGGGAAAAGTCATCGGGCCCTGAAATATTGTTCACAGACTTATCCGACTATATGAAAGCCTGTTTGGCGGTTTCAAGAGAGGACTAGCATGCAAAAGTCGAGGAAACTAAAACTCTTGTTCAACCTTACACCACCAGGTTTGACGAGTTCTTGTGTGGTGCTAAGAATGGCAATACTCACTGACGATGCCGGCGAAACTTTTGGGAGTGCACCACGTCCAAGATTCAACTTTGGAAATGATCATGCAGACAATGGACTCCGAACTAGGTGCGTTCCTCTAAGTCTTCGTACCAATATGACCATGTTGCGAAAACAAGGTAAAGCAACCTCTATATGAAAGCCTGTTTGGCAGTTTGAAGAGAGGACTAGCATACAAAAGTCGAGGAAACTAAAACTCTTATTCAACCTTACACCGCCAGGTTTTCCAGTGCTTATCCGATTGTTGTGAAACTCTAAGTGAATAACCAGCCTATAGCCAAAAGCGGCACGCGATCCCCAAAGATAGTCTGGTTCATTTTTCTCAACCTCGCTATTGGCGCAAGAGCCAAAATAAGCTTTTTTAGCCCTACTCGTGTTGGACTGGGATTGGAATCGGACAAGAGCATAAAGTAGTACTTGCGCTTCTCCTGGAAATCCTAAACTATTCAAAGGTCGGTTTCACCAGAAGACGACAGCGGATTCCTCTTGACCAGCTGTCGATCGGCTTTACTGGAAGATTAATGCTGACACTGTTTCCGAGAGAAAGTTGACCCATTATCAAGATCGGGTTGCTACAAAATAATGTGTTCATGTGGTCGCTTTTATGTTGGAGAGACTTGTCGTCCCATCGACAAAAAGTAACTGAACAGAAAAGCGCCTGCAAAAGTTGTTGGGTTCAAGAATAGGAGCTGGCTGAGCACAGGACAGGAACGGGACACGAGATTGAATGGGCTCAAGTTTGTAGTTTTGCTTATTATGTTATGTCTGCGGCTAAACGTAAAATTAGAGAAGTCATTGAAATAAGCCGAATAGGAAAAGCATTGAATGTAAGGAATACCGACAAGATAAGTAAAAATTACTTGTGCTTAATTAATAAACTGAAGTTGAGCCGCCTGCAAACAGGAGGCGACGCAACTAGTCTTTTCTTGTCTTGGTTGTAATGATAGTCAATTCTGTGTACTTTTAGCTCACTTTTTCTCTCTCGCATTGAGACCAAAAACAAAAAATAGGCTCATCAATAAAATCAGATGAGTGTTCGACCTTGCGCAATCGGAGTGATGGTTATAACTTAAATTTAGAAAGGAGATAGGGGTCATCAAACCTTGATGGCCAAAGACGTTCCTTGTTGCTGTCCTAATTACTTTGAGT